CAAATGTGAAATTATGTCCTTATTAATGTCAGCTAGGCATTGAGAAAAAATATAAACACTAGACTCCACTCTTTCAAATATATTTAATTTTATTTAATTTAAAGAAGTTCGTGCTTTTTCTCTGTTCTCTGTCCTGTTCACAAGTTTACCTATGCCTTGTCAATGTCATTCATCATATTCTTACACAGACCTATAATTTTAGTCGCAGATAATTTCCAGAAATAAAGAAGTATACTGAAATCTTATCTTACTCAGTACTGAATTGTTGATGCAGGAAAGATATTTGTAACAGTTTTCTTTAAATATTTTATTGCTTTTTCTCAAAAAAAAAAAAAAAAAAAAAAAAAAAAAAAAAAAAAATATATATATATATATATATATATATATATATATATATATATATATATATATATATATATATATATATATATATATATATATATATATATATATGTTACATATGTTGTAAATATGCCAATGTGCATTTAAAGCAGCTACATATGCATATAAATTCCACTTTACAAGGGTCAGTGAAAGAGTAAGCAAATGTGTAGGATAATATTTCAAAGGCGTCCAAACTCCTGCTCAAAATGCTTTTATTCAGAGGGAAAACTCTTTTCGGAAGCTTAAGAGATAAAATACCAGCCATTGACAAAGTAAAACCGAATGTTTTATATGGTATATACATTGTAGATTATATTTACTAATGTATTCTTTCATACCTTTCTTAACTTTATTGACTGAATGTTTGTAAGGGTACATAATTTAAAATTTTCTCTTTCATATTCAAGGTTAATCAACTTTAACAATCATGTCTCTTATTTATACACTTTAGTTCTAACCTTTTCTTTTCAGCTCACGTGAGCCCAAGGCTTAAGTGAGTTTTATGATCAGTGACTGGCGTTTGTCTGTCATCTGTAAACTTTTCACATTTTTCCATTTTCGACTTCTTCTCAAGAACCACGGGGTCAATTTCAACCAAACTGATCACAAAGCAGCCTTGGGTGAAGGGGATTCATGTTTGCCTTTCACACTTCACACGTGTATTTCTTGTGACAAGACCTTTCACTGGATTTCAACAATTTTGACCTTGACCTTTGAATATGATCTATTTTTTAAAACTTTAACCTTGTCCATAACTTTTGAATGCTTGGTGATAGGCCTTCATATTTCACATGTGTATTCCTTGTGACAAGACCTTCCATTGGATATAAACAATTATGACCTTGACATTTGACTTACTTCTGAAAAAAAAAATAACATTAGCCATAACTTTTCAACGTTTGGTGCTCGGGCCTTCATATTTCAGAATAATATTACCTGAGACAAGACTTCGCTTTGGGTAACAACATTCTTTTATCTTTTGACTTTGACCCTGGACTTTGACTTGCATTTGAAAAACTTTAACCAAAACCATAAATTGTCATATGGGAGCAGCAGTTTTTCACAAACACATCTTGTTCACAACTTCCATTAGTTTAAAAAAGAATCAATAATAATCTGAACAAAAAATGCAAGATAAAAAACTCCTATTATATAGTATTAAACTGATCTGCCAGGTTGAAAGAACCAATTGTCTTATAGAGCTTTAGTTTATTATTTGTCATATATTTATATATGAGATAGATATCATACAGCTTGATGGTAATCTTTTCTTTCAGAAATTGAGCAAGAAAAAAGTGGAAGTGTCTGTGGGAATTATCAACATCAAACTTGCTGAGCTTTTGAAGCCGAGTTGTACCAAAAGTGAATTCATTCGTGACACCGGTTATCTGACCACCCTCTAACAGAACCATCTGTTATTGATTTATTAGTAGTGAATGTCATTGGATATCAGTGAGAAAGTGATTCTAGAAGTCTAGGACCTTCCATTATTAGGATCTTTTGGCATGTTGGTGGAAAATAGCATGTATTGGTTTTATGGGATCTTCCAAATATAGTTGTGTGTTAGATATTTGTGTACTTATACCTGTGTTTGTCACTATAGTCATTAACTTTGTACGGTAAATGTGCATGGAGCACTGGAAGTTCATTGTAATTGTATACAAATGTTGCACGTACACCCTTTTGAGGTTTCAATGACCTTTCTCAAGGTCATTTAATGAAGCTAAAGGTTAGATTAATGTTTTTCAAAAATCTATTTTGTTTTATTATAAAGAAATGTCAGATGGTGAGATTACTCAAGGTACAAAGGATTTTCTTTTACTGTGGGTGTTAAGACATGTTAACCAAACGTCATTTGATTTCAGTTTCTCATGCAGACTGGAGTTTACTACATTTATGTATATTATAACATGATTATCATTTATTTAACCTAAGGTGATCCTCCAGTAATGATGCTTTTCTGTGGAATTTTTAAAATAACCTTTGATGTAAAATACTTTCAGTGATAATACTTTTTAAAAATTGGGCTTACATTGAACATATGCAATATTTTTCCCATAACACAATGTAAAGCAAACAATGATTTTTATTTTGAAATATAGATTTGATTTATGAAAAATTGTGATATAATCAAGTTTTTTGTAATTATTTGGCTCTAATAATTTTAATTATTCCAGTTTTTTGTAGTAATCTCTTGGAATTCCTAGGATTTTCGTGAATTCCAAGGAATTCCATTGATTTCCAGCTATTTCCAAAAATTTCTATGCTGGCATTGCTCCGCTTTTTTCCAGGCTAGATTTGAAATTCCGTACCATTTCGAAAAAGTTCCTTCCCAATACTCTCGAGAATTCCTCGGAATTCCGTACAGTGGAACACTTCCGTGGAATTCCACGGAATTAGCTTTGGAATTCCACGGATCTTATGGAAAATCTACTTTAGGGTTACTCTCCTACCAGATGGTGCACTTCTTCATGCACACTCTCTGGTCAGTGATAAATTGATGAGACAGCGTCTATCTATGGACTGGTCTGTTCTCCGTCGTTTTCGACGACAAAGTAAATTGTGAACAGTTTTTAGCTCACCTGAGCTGAAGGCTCTAGTGAGCTTTTCTGATCAAAGAGTGTCCGGCGTCCGTCTGTCGTCCGTCATCTGTAAACATTTCATATTTTCGTCTTCTTCTTAAGAACCACTAGGCCAGTTTCAACCAAACTTGCCACAGATCTTCCTTGGGAAAAAGGGATTTAAGTTTTTTCACAGGAAGCGCTGCGCCCTCTTTCAAGGGGAGATAAATAAGAATTCGTAAAAATTTGGTGGTATCTTTTAAAAGTCTTCTACCAAGAACCACTAACTAGGCAAGAAAAGATGAAGCTTCATTACATACTTTAGATTAAAATTTGTTCATATCATAACACCCAGAGGAGTCAAAGTTTTACAAAGGAATATATAAGAAATGTCTTTAAAAATCTTCTAGAGAACAGCAATGCCATGAGTAGTCATATTATTACAGAAATATCCTCAGGCAGTGTAGATTCAAGTTTGTCCCAAGCAGGACCCCTGGGGGCAGGACAGGGCCAGAACAGGGGGGTCAAAGTTTACTATAGGAATATATAGGGAATATCTTTAAAAATATTCTCAAGAACAGCTTAGCCATTATTAGATATATTAATACAGAATTCGAAGTATCCTCCGGTAGTGTAGATTCAAGTTTGTTCAAATCATGACCCCTGGGGGTAGGGCAGAGCCACAATAGTGGGTCAAGGTTTACATAGGAATATATAGGTGTAATGGCTGAAGGGCATTTGAGTAAAACGCATTGAAAACTTCAAATATTGGAATGACCTGACAACCCTTTGAATGGACTAGCCTAAGGGTATATAAGGCAAAGCTTTGGGCAAGTCAGGCATTCAGAATGTAGGTGTAGAAGTTGGATGACGAATCAGCAATTAAGAAGTAAAGTATTCAATCCTAATAGCAAAAGATTCAATGAAATTGAATACATAACAGATAGTAGATGTTGAATACTCGGTATATTTAGACATAATTCCCATTTATTTCTATTGGCATGTAAGGGTGGGGTGTGTCCTAATATATGACCTTGAATTTTGGTAAGAGTTATCTCCCTCTGTTTTTAAAATTAACAAAAAAAATCAATTTTAAGAAACTTTTCTGGTAAAAAAAATCATTTTAAATTTCATTTTTTTCTAATGTGTTTTAGTGAATTTTTGCACTACAGTATTTATTGATGTTAATTGAAATTTTATTTTAAAAAAATGCTCCATACACTACATGTACAATACAGTCTTTGTTAAATAATTACTGCTAAGTTAATTACATTTTTGAAACTACATGTATCTCTCTTAGTAAATCCTTTTCTACTGTAAAATGCTCTAAATTAGAACAGTCGTATCAGAGTATTATGTATGTGATGGACATTAAAGTAATGAGTAATATTGATTTAGAATCATCCTGAGTTAGTGTAATACTGAACTGGTTTCTGCTTTTTCCTAGCAAGTGTGCTCAGGTACTTGCTCAGGTGAGCAATGTGGTCTATGGGCCTCTTGTAACATAGAAAGTTATCGAAGTGTTTGAGACAGAAATGCCTCAATGCTGCTCTATGATGCAAAGTAAATGGCCGTAACACTTTATAGCTAGAGCAAAAGAAGATACTGATACCTCACCCCACCCACCACCCCCACCCCCTCCACCCCCAGGACAAAACTCACTTACGATGATTGTTTTATCATATATTACGAATAAAAATACATCTTTATGTACAGTTTTAAAATCGTTTACAGTTTTACTTTTCAATCGATTTCGGGACTTTTCTCATTTCTTCTATAATGACGTTTTTTTTTTCAAATGAAAAACAGTACAAATCATGATGTCTTCTTCATTTTACCGATTCTTTACGTAGAACATTACCGTTACGGGAGTGAGGCCCATTCCTTTACAGGTACTGGTCTACACTCTTGTCGCTGTATTAAAAGGGAAACCCTTGTCCATCACAAAGCATGGAATAATATGCCACTAGCTGACTTTCTAAGCTTTTAAAAAATCTAACCTTGTGACGTACATTATTTTGTAATATTTAATAAAAAGGAGAAAAACAGACGGAATCAAGAAGGGGAGTCTCGTTTACCAGGTGGAGGGAGTTTGTTTTTGATTGGACTAGTCCACTTACGGGATAACCTGGAAACAAAGTAGTAAGAATAATTAGCAAATCAATAAAATTTACAGTTAATAAAATTCTGAAGCTTAAGAATCGGGTTAAAGGAACAAACTTAATTTATTTCCATAAAAGTTATCACACCCATTCAATAGAACTATCCAAGAAAAAGAAACGAAGATAATTTACTTGTGACATTTGGCGCGAAGTGATTGTGTCACCCCTTACGTAGAAGACAAATGGACTGATGCAGTTGTTTAGAAACACAGAAAAAAAAATGTTACACGGACACATCCATATAAAGAATCACAAAGAATAAACAAGTGCATGACAAAAAAAAAAATGAAGGAAGTGATCACATCATAATTTTGCATCATTAATTTATATGATTCTTTCTTTTTAAAATCTTTTTGTTAAAATGCAGGTAACAAATTCCGATGTAAGTCAGCTTGGAAAAAAATCTAGCTCACTAAGTATGATCGCTTAGTTTCGGACCATGGAAAAATTTTATACTGTCAAACGCTCTTGGCGTCAGGCAAAAAAGAATCTTCAAACGCACTGTGCTATAGCTTATTCGAGATGTGATGTAAATCAAATGTGGATTCTCAAAAACTAAAAAAAAAAACCTTTAGAAAGTATAAAATCACTTTTTTTTTCAAAAGACAGTAACAACAAAACGTATGACTTTTCTTCATTTTATTCAACCATTCCTCATGATAAACTAAAAACTAGAGTTTTTGATATCATATACGACTCCTTCTTTAAAAAAAAAAAGGAACTCAGAATTTTGCTTACCCTAGCTGTGATTGGTCATTTTCAAAAGTACTTTGTAAAACTTTGTAAAAAAAAAAATCTATTTCTACACACACTTATTCTGACTCGATATACCCCAGTGAACTAAAATGAAAGACTTCACAGAATCTGCCATATCTGTTTCATATTTGGATGTTTTAATGACTATAGACGATAAGGGACAACTAACAACAGTATAACAAACGTAATGACTTCAGCTTTTCTATTAACATCTTTTTCTTATTAAAAAAGTAATAAATTTCTTCAATTACCAACTAAAAACTGTATGACAAACGGAATGACTTCAACCTTTCTATTAACAACTTTCCTTATCAAAGTAATAAATTTCTTCAATTACCAACTAACAATTGTATGACAAACGGAATGACTTCAGATTTTCTATTAGCAACTTTTCTTATTAAAAAAAATTTCTTCAATTACCAACTAACAACTGTATGACAAACGGAATGACTTCAGCTTTTCTATTAACAACTTTTCTTATTAAGTTATAAATTTTCTTAAATTACCTGCATATACTTTTACGTTTCCCAACTTATTCGATACTCAAGAACATGCTCTTAGTACGATCAATTTCTTAAACCCAGACTGGCTACTGACAAATAAGTTGTTGTTACAGGGATTTCAAAAAACCTCGTCAATTCTATGGTCTTTATAAAGACCTTGTTTATAAATACAATCTATCATTTGGTCCTATTTTAAAAGACAAAAAACATACATATTGGTAGCCATTGTTATTGTATAACATTTGACTACGGATTATTCCAATTACCGGTACCTTAGAAATACAATGGAGCCACGGCGGGTGCTACCGGTCGAGAGAGAATAGAATGCTTACTTCCCCGTGGCACTTAATCCCACCTCTGCAATTTGTAGGGGTATGTGCTTCTTTTTTTTTGCCCTGTTCACAGATTTGTATTTTTTATAGGTTTAAGAAATCGATCACTATTCATTTTCTTCACCTTAGTCATTATTGTAAAAGTTGGGAATTTATTAAATATAACATTTTCTTTAAGTGTTTGCAGTACTCGGATCTGCACAGCAAAAATGAAATTATTCTTTTATACTGATATTTTATTAATTGATTTTTGCATTTAGAAAAACAAATCGGTTATTATTATTTACAAATAATAATATCCTTTATGTGACAGAGTTGAAGAATCTGTATTTGATTTATTTGTTATAATCTACTTTTGATGTGACATGGTTGTATTTGGGTAATTGTATTTGTTATTTGGTGTTTACAAAGTATTTGTCTCGGGATCTTTTGTGTTCTTTTGAAGTTATTTTTAGTCTCTTCTGACCCCCTAAGTCTGTGTATTTTTGTTTTGCGTCGTACATGTGTATACTTGAATAAATAACATTTTTTTACTTTCAATACTGCTGTTATTTTTTTCATTTCCATTCTTAATCCATCAAAAACTAGCTCAGTTGACTTGGCTTCGGACTTGTAGGAATAGTAAAGGAACGTAAAACATGTTTTACTAATTAAAGTGAAGTGTCCTGAAAAAGTCCTGTCAGTACTTACAGTGCTTTGATTTTTACTGCATGATAAAAGTAACTACCGTCCTTAAATATATTGTATACAATGATTGACATGAATATATGTACTAGTTATGAACAAAGTAGGGAGTGCAGTATCTAGAAAATGTTCTTTCTGTATTTTTGGTATTTTGATTTTTACTGCAATTGAAAAATAGGTTTCATTCGTAAATATGGTACTCTACTGCATGCATTTATTTGCGTATGTATAGAAACAAGTATATACTAGCTACATGCATGTAAGTCCTACCAATTAATCTACCCATTTACGGAATTTTTCATCCCCTAACATTTTACAGAAACGCAAAGGTGGAAGATGGGGACAGTTTACAATAATTTTAAGCTGTCCAATTTACAAATACACATCATAGCTCCATAAAAGAATCTGAAAAGCGACGCGCAGTACAGATGGTGAAACATATGCCACTGGTATGGTAAAGAAGTCATCATGAGCAATAAATTGAATGCAGACGTCTGAGAAAACATTCAATTGAATGTTTTCGTATACGTCTGCGATAAATTCATTGCGGACGCCTAAGAAAACATTTAACTTCATTTAATGTTTTCTTAGACGTCCGCAAAAAATTAGATGCGGACGTCTATGAGAACATTGGATTGAATTTGTACTTCTAAAAAGTATTTCAATCAAGTGTTGAAAAAAGACAAATATTTCGAGTTTGGATTTATTAATTTTATTTCAAAATCAGAAAACTCTCAACAACTTGGAACCGGAAGTGAGTTTCCAAATAATCCTTGTGATGAAGAAAGTTCATTTGATGACGCATAATTCCTGAAAGTTTCAGCTAAAACTACTGAATAATTTTTGAGAAAACGCCTGCCCAAAATTTTGGGAAAAATACTGATAAGAAGAAGGAACAGTGGAATCACTATAAGTTCTTCCGTGAAAACGGAAGACCTTAACTAGATGCGATCTCGTTGCGAGCAACGCGTGGGTCTTCCGTCCGATTTTTGATAGATGAGATAAGAATTCAGCTAATTTTTCGTTCAACTATAATGATATAAATGAATTAATAAGAAGAACAATTTTGCTTCAGTAATGTTTAACAAAATAAAGATCCTTAAAGAGTTATGGATTAAAGACTTCTGCCCCACTTGGTCCCTACTATGAGGGGTCAGCCCCTCTTTCTTGAAAGCAACCCTAATGATTTTGAACACCTTTGTTCAACAACTATTCAGATTTTTTTTTTCGTTTCCTAGATATGCAAAAGAAGCATTAAAGGTCCAGCCCTTCAAGTCCTAAATAGGGACGTTTAGCAAAAAATTGAAAAATTGCACATCGTTAAAAATATTATTTCAAACGTCTTTTGTTCAATATTGCTTACCAAAATAGTCATCCTTTTCAAAATATATTGCGCCGAAAATTCGGCAATCTGGCCCCTAATGACCCCTTATTGCAAAACATATGATGCCAATATCATGTGATATAGTTACAGAGTGTGAAGATGAACTCTTTTGTTTCAGTAATTTATTACAAAATAATGACCATTAAAGATTTTTTGATTTGAGACTTTCGGCCCCTCTCGGCCCCTTATTTGAGGGTCAGCCCCTTTTTCTTGATAGCACCTTAATGCTCCTATGATTTCGAACAATCTTTGTTCAACAATTATTAAGAAATTCTTTTACGCTTCCGAGATATATACAAAAGAATATTTAGGGGCTGGTCCTTAAACTCCTTAATTGGGACGTTAACTTAAGCAAAATTTGAAAGGTCACATCTGAACATCTGTTATTCAATATTACTTATCAAAATATTTCACACTTTCGAGAAACAGAGTTCCAAAGATTTAGCATTATGGTCCCTTATGGCCCCGAGTTATGTAACATTTGATGTGAATATCATAACATATAATACAATGTAGTAATCGTTAAAGAATTATGGATAAAAGACTTTTGGCCCCTCTTGGCACCTAATGTGAAGAGTCAGCCTTTTTTTCTTGATATCATATAAAAGATCTAGTAATTGTACACAATTTCAGTTCAATTTGTTTTAATAGCTATGTAGATATCATAAAAATGTATTGAAAATTCACTCTTGATTCATGTCCTGAATTTCAACCCCTACCGAGCTTCCCTGTTAGACAACTCTGGAAAATCTGGAAAAAACATAGGAGCACAACTACAACATGTCGTGTATAATCACTGAAAAATACAGCACTCTAGTTTTTGTTGTTTTTGATTTTTTTGTGCAGACAAAATGGTCACTAGAAATACGATTAAAGGGCGATTGCTTCTAAACCGAAGTGAACTTTTTAAAAAAAAAAATGAAAAAACATATAATGTTCACACAAAGATACATCTTCCCTGAAATTTTCAAGTAAATCAATCGAGCCAACTCCGAGAAATCTTCTGCACAAAAATTGTAGAGAAAAAAATAATAAAAGTAAAAAAGAAACAAAAGAATAATTATAATAAAAATAAGAAACAGAGTAAAAACAGTATGTTCCCAAACTTCGTTTGGGGAGCAAAATGAAAAAAGAATTGCATGAATATAAAAATAGTTTTGCACAATGTCCAACAGCGATGTTATATCCATATGCAAATACATCCACACAAACGTAACAGATCTAGAGTCACATCAAAAGGCCTTGTTTGTTCATCGACATATTTGAATTACTCTAGGAGTACCTACAATGAGATCATTGTTAATTCAACCAATGAGAAGCAAGAAAGACTACACCTATTGACCAAAATGTTGCACAATATATTTTAAGATACTTACAAGTTATTTTGCTTGATATTTGGGCGCTGAATTTTGTACTACAAAACAAAATCATCTGGTTATCATTCAGTATGACTGTAATAAAAAATTCAATGAATTCAATTTACGTTTTTATAAATATTTACTCAAAACTTAATCTATTAAACATTCATTTCTAAAGCTCGATTCAGTGACAAAAGAGTCACTGCTTTTTTAGAGACCCATATGAAAAGAACAATGGAATTTTACATAATTAAAAGCATACGAACTGGATTCTTTGTGTTGATTTTATCGTGAAGTGAAGGTATTTGACTTTCCACATAGGAAGCTGCAGGACGCAAAGTGAAGTTGTCTCCGATAGATTCTACATTTTCTCTTTGGATAGGATGTGGCATGTTTGACGGCTGATAAATCAAAGTCTACAAAGGATACTTAATTTTGAATGAAATATTTCAGTCACATTTCTTACAGTCAGTTCAACAATACATTAATTAGATTGAACGATTCATAATTTAAGAAATAAAAAAGAATGAACATTTGACTAATGAAATTAATCAAGTTTTACACCTTTGAATACTTTAATTGTGATGCCAAGAATTAAATTTAATATTTCTATCGTGCACATGTACCTTTGAATATTTTCCACGAATGAAAGATTTTTTTCTCACATAAACGCACTTTAAACGTAAAATCTCGAGGCAACAAATTAAATTTAAGGGACTTATTTTTCATAAATTAGATGATATGAATTATCTTTATGTACATTGCTTCCCTCCTTTATTAATGCCCTTTCCATGGCCAACAGATGCAGGGACGTGTTTACATTGAAATTTTGCTCCCTCCAAACTTAATCCTTAAGTTTGATAAGACTGCAAAATATAATGTAAAATTGAAGGCGACATATTGTAATCGAATATTAAGGATATACCCTGCTACTGAGAAATGAATGCCTTATTTAAAAATGAACAAAAAGAAAACTTACATTTTCACCTAATACATCATCCTCAACTTTCTTATAAAGTCGTCTTCCTCCTGATCTCCCTTCAATGTATACGTATCTATCATTACTGGTGTAGTTTTCTTCACTTCTTCTGTTTTGATTTTCTATACCTTTTGTGCGATTCTGTTCTTGGTAGAAACTTCCATGAGAATGGAGGCTATTTTGAGAATGACGTCTGTAAGGATCTTCCACATCACTATAATAGTTGTTTGTCATTGGCTGTCTGTACTTCTCGGCAGATTCGCTACGCGGTCTGTCGGGGAATGAATTAAGATTCAGAATCTGACCTGTTTTGTCATTACGCACTGGCTCAAGTTGGTATCGCGTTCTTGCGTCGTTTTTATCCTCTTCAAACAAAGGATTGACCTTTCCAGAATCCAGGGGAATGTTTTCTATCATTTGATTGTCTTTATTCATTGCTTTAATGATCTTTGAACTACTTTCACTTTCTGAACTGTAAAAATGAGTCCATATATGTAAAATAATATTTCATGTCATAATTCATTTAACAGTAAATTCAATGCAAAGAAATACTTACCCGTCTTTCATCTTTTTCTCAGAACTCCAGCGAACACAGATGCAAATAACAACAACTATGAGTATAAGAATAGCACCACCTCCTACACCACTGGATATAGCGATAATTGTAAGTTTGCTAAGGGGTATATTTTCATTTACTGTTTTTGATTTTGGCGTTGCTCTTCCTGTGGGGATTATCTTAGTGGAAATGGGTACATGTTTCTCACATTTTTCTCCATAAAATACGTTTCTTCCATCTGTTTGACACCTTAGAAGAATGCAAATTATATCTTAGCAATTTTTTTAGCATGTGGTATATCTTGACCAAGTAAATAATGTTTCTCATTCTTCCGGTTGAGAATCTTGCACCTTACTCTTTGGGATTTTATAAAACTTTAAAAAGTATTATAGGAAAATGCATATAGAAGGACTTGATAAAGATTACCTAAAATGATGAAGACGGAATAACAGTCTTCAATGAAATGTATGCGAAATCGGAAAACATTGCATTTTGAGATTTTAGCGTAGAATTAATATGAAAGTGAATTTACATATGACTATATATAAAACTATGATTCCAACCAAAAAAAGGTTTCCTAGAGTGTTCAAGAGATTTTATTATTAATGATAAATGTTTTATTCATGACAAAATTATTCACTGTTTCAAGTATTTATTTACTGAAATTTTGCGGAATATCGAGGTTATGACTTTTTTAATTGCTAACAAGCTGGAGTTTAAATTACACCCACATATATGCGCCATCCTCATCGATATATTAAAATGAATTATTTTGAAAGAATTGTCTAAGGAAAATCTAAATGAGGTACTCTGTGGTATCTTTTATTTCAAGTTCACTGGGATATATCGAGTCGACATATGAATGGAAGTACATGTAACTATTGTTAAATTGATAATACGTCGTCGATATATCTAAATGTAGAAGTTTTTGAGTAAATTCTGCTTCGTGTGAATACAAAAACAGGTCTACTAATAAGGGAGCGCAATTAATACCCATGGGAAAAAGCTGTGATTTTAATTTATCGTGGGGAATGGTTAAACAAAGTGTTGAAAAATTGTACGTTTTGATGTTATTGATCTTGGTAAAATTTTGTGATTCCAAGTTTTCTAAAAGTTCTCTGGAGTTTTTAAGTATTCACATCCAATTTATACCACTTCTAGAATATACTGTTGTATAGTACTCCTGAAGTTTCTCCTTCACCGCTGTAAATATTTTATTGAGGAGAAAAGAAAGAGGCTTGGCAGAACATTTACTGGAACCCGCTATGTATCTTTGTTTGTGAGAATGTTTATGGAGTGTTGGAATCCAGTGCAGGTAGTGTAAGTCAAATTCATATTGATTGTTGGGAATATTAAACATATTTAAAACTGACACATGGTCCTGAAGAATGATAAGTAATCATATTGTTTAGCAATTTTAAACTTAAGAAGTAAATGTCAAGAATATTACAAAGGCAACTGAAACCTGACCCGCTGTGGTATCAGTGTTTCTCATAAATATGGGATTCCAAATTCCATTGCTTATTGAGAAGTTTGTGTGTACATATAGTGAGTATCTTGCAAGTAAATAAATTTGCGAAAATTAAACAGACTTACTATTTCCCTTTTCATACCCCTTTCATAAAATGCTTGACAGAGGGAATACACGTAAATCGCAAAACTCATTCAATGTATTCATTCAGAAAATAATATCGCAGTAGTCGTCAGACCTAAAGTAATGTGTTTTGGAAATGACTTATTATAATCATACATTTTTTTAAAATGATCGGATGCATCGTATAATAATTTTCAAGTAAAATGTATTGCAATTTGATGCGTTACTTTGAAAGTACGTCATTGCGCAGCTAGGTGCCCATGAAATATACGCCTTATTGTCAAAGACCTAATTAAATTAAAAGAAATGCCTTATTTATTTTTAATGTTTTATTCGATATGGCAGGTATTGTCCACAGTGGTCTATACAAAAATTAAATCAGATTCGTCACCCACCTTGCACTTTCATTGATGCATAGAAAAGGGGAGATAACCCGGAAACTTAGTGACTAAGTAACTGCACTGTATGGGTGGATAACTTAATTCTGACTTTACTCAATCATCAGTTTTCACAAAATAAGAGGCGAATGATGACATTAATAACAGGGTAGAGATTTGATGACGACGCATATTGTAAGATGAACTCAAATATGCGGTAATATATTCAGAGAAAATGAATTCATTTTTAATATTTTTAACAGCATTAGTTTCGATGAATGTGAATTGTGGTGTTTGTTCTTTATACGAGGGTTGTTCGAAAAGTTCGTGGACAATGTCAATCCTCGTTATACTACTTTCAAGAAATTTAATATAAGCATATTATCATATGTAAAAATATTTATTTTGTTGATGTGTGAAGTTTCATTCCATTCGATTTAATAGAAATCAATTTACTTTATTTTAAAGTCAGCATGTTTGGTAACCCCGGAGCAAACTAGATAATATTATAACGTCAAAAATATAGCATCATGAGGTTCTCAAAATATTCCCCCTATACATTTCACACAGTCTGGTCCAATATCTACTCATTTAAAACGTTTCTCTATCATTTGAAATTCATTTTGTTAACAATTTTTCCAGTAGCATAATTTTGATTGTCAATGTTTTCTTTTTTTTACCGCTTAACTATGCTTTCACAAGACCAGCAACCGTGAAATACCTTTTTCTTTCCAAGACGTTACTAGTTGAACGTTTTTGGGTTGATTCTTTACAGATAATCCGTTTTCTTACAGATCGTCCTCGTCTGATAGAGAGTCTCTTTTATTCAAATACCGCCTGGGCCATTTACACACACATATGCATGACCCGCTTTTGAGATATTTCATGTTTCTTACAACATTTTCAGATTTTATTCTGACGTTTTCCAGAGTACAACAGAAAATTGTATCGTAAAGTGCTGCTCCGTGACGTTCTACGACGAAACCTTTTTCGCCTTCTTCAAGGAGAACTACTTATCTTCAGAAATTGATTTCTTTTCCATGAAGCAAACTATTAAGTCATAATTTGGAATATGAAACCACGTAACAATTCTTAATTTGATGGTCTAGATTTATTTTCATTTTCAGCCATTTTACAGAGGATATGACTACAGAAATTAATTAGTGTAATGTTTGTAAATTACTAAATTTTGACTTGCTCCGCGAGCCAATTTTTGCAGTTTTTAACTCTTAATAAGTTTAAAATAAAATCAAAATATTTTAAAATTTTTCAATACAAATCATTTGAATTTATTGTTAAAATATTTCTACCAAATTTGGATATAATATGACGTTAAATAAAAAAGATATGACAGAAGTCCACAAACTTTCCGAACAACCCTCGTATATATCGGGTGTCTGCTGAGTTCGGCCAAAGTGACATCGCTTACATCAGCTGTTTGTCACATGACAGGTTTAAAACTAGAACACATATGTACTACTACAAAGATCGTAAAAGTTCAACGATATTCGGGTATCTTTCCGCAATAAAATTTATTCTGTTTTGTTTTAAGACAAATTCCTTAACATGAAAAGCGATGTGAGCAACTTCCTCATGTCGGGAATTTACAACATGTAGCCGTCTTTCTATAAATACCAGATATATATATAATACGCACTGGAATAATGTAACATTACGGAGTAAATAAACCATGCACATACATATCTCAGCACTTTTCAGAATAGTAGAAATATAATAGCTGCATGTGTTTTAAAATTCAGAATTTATAAAGAAGCGGATATCGTTGAACTTTTGATATTTTCGAGGGGCTGGACCCTCATTCTAGCACGTTACTGTATTTGTAAATGTGTTCCCTAAGGCTATATATAAAGTCTACACATTAACAATTTAGTTTGACAATAAAATGTGGATTAATATATTTTAGATTATGTTTTTATTTTGGCCCAATTAAGCTTGTTTAGTATTTGTTTTTACAAACTACGATAATTGCTTGATCCACGCTTCAAGTATAGAGAAACTGCGTGTCAAACTAAGAAATGAGGTCATCTCAGTAAGCCTTATGGAGAAATGATGTACAGTTTATTAATGAGGTTGCTCCTACGTGATTTACTTCTCATTAATATTCATAAAATCATGAGTAAACTCGAAATATTCCATTTCTTTAAATTTTTATATCAAAACCTGCAACCACAGTTTGTTTGTTTTTCTTTAAGCCTCTGTTATAGTTATTTGGGCATAATTTTGTGTTATTAACAGTTGACAACTCATGGTACCATCTTTTTTTGTAATAAGTAGGTCAAACTTATGAAAGAAATTGCCGTTTTCAAATAAGAAAGGCGATCGAAACTCTTCAAAAAAATGATAAATCATTTGTATTTTATAAAAATAGGCATTCGTCTGCATCTATTAGTCGGCGGAAGAACTCTGTCAACTTGGAATAAACACTTACATTTTATCACCAAAAATGATAAAGACACCAATTCTGTACTCTTTCTTTCATTAAAACATTATACTCTCGCTTCGGAATTTCAAATCAAAAAGGCGGTCGGAACTTTCACTTTGGCATCAACAATATTGTCATTTCCGGTAAAAGATATTAAGAAAAATCTAAAAATCCGCGGAAGAACTTTATCCGAAATAGTTAGTACATAAAAATCTGCGATTTATTGTACGTTCTCCATATAAACCTTTATGGAATGTTATACCTCCAATATGGCCGATATGTAAATGAGCAGAATGAACACCATTTCTCCATACGGTACAGTAAGATCAAGCTGGATTTCACTTTAACTACGTTGAGTGCTATTTTGGCAAGATAAGTTGCACATCCATTTATATTTATAATATTTTTGAGAAAAGAAAGTATTTGAGTGTCTTTTAAAAAGAACGTATGGTATTTTTTCATCGAGATTCATTTGTATTATTCTAACGTGACGTCATAATAGCTTTCCCGAACCTCTGCATAGGCTGACGTAAATATGGCAGTCCTTCACCTAGCTGCGTTTCTATTACATTTGAATTATCTTATAAGATGTGTAAAATTGGATAATCAAAAGATGATTTCACATTCTATCCAAAAGTAAGGCTAGAAATAAATTATATGTTCATAGATTTCTTCCTTATTCTTTTTGAAATATACACACACTGTAATAATTAAGTTATGCTATTCAATACTTAGACAATTAGGAAGTAATAATTAGGTATGTAATAATTTTTCTTTAAAAAGAAAAGAATGTTATTTGCATGACAAAAATGCAATTTAATTTT